ATATGTCCCGTCCAAAATTCAGATGTTACCAATGTGATAGAATTAAGTAGGCTCTGTAGCAGGTGGTGGATAGATTGTGTTAGCCTGGAGTTTAGCTACATCTGCCCAACTTGGTACTGGACCCAGAGAAACAATTTATCTCTCCAAGAGTAACTTCCAGCTTCTCCTTCTCATTCCAGAAATAAACCTCATACTCCATTTTTGAGCATGTGCTGAGCCCTCTCCAATCTCAAGACTCCACAGCCACCCAAGCCTCTACCCCCAGCTCCCAGGAAATCTTTCTGTTTCCTGTTTTACATAAGCAGATGCTCCTTCAAATCAGCAGTTGATATGTCATTTTGCCCACCTCCCAAACTTCTTCTCCCAGACAACTGATAAAAGTAGTGCCACTTCTTTGTTCTTGCTGAGAGCTGCTCTGTCCCTTTGAATCTCTCCCATGCCCACATTAAAGGCCTCCTTCTTCCTCATCTCTCTCATTTTCTCTGTGCCACTTCAGATTGAGTGCCAAAAATACTTAATCAGTGAAAAGACCATAAAGTTCCCTCCTTTGTGAATGAGATCAAGGCCCTTATAAAAGAAGCATCACGCAGTGTTCAGCCTTCTTTCCCTTTTGCCTTCTACCATATGATGACACAGTGACCCGCCTCTCTTCTCTGGAGCACGCACCATCTTGGTACCATCTTGGAAGTAGAAAGCAGCCCTCACCAAACAACCAAGCCTGCCAGTGCCTTAAACTTCTCAGCCTTCAGACTATAAGAAATTAACTTCTGTTCATTATAAAATGTCTAGATTGCGATATTCAGCAGTACAAATTGACTAAGATAAATTCTTGGTCATTTCACACATTTGGTCCTGCTTTATAGTTGTTCATGGTAGGAGAGTTTGTTCGGTGTGAGTTACAGCATAATGGGAAAAATAGGAGTCTTTTTTTTTTTTTAAGCTGTTCCTTTTGTAACCTTTTGAGGCTGTTGCCTGGTTCACTAATTTTCATTTTTTGTTATTTGATATCTAATTCAGATGTTTAAGGTTGTACGTTTCCCCAGAAGATTGCTTTAACTTTATCCTACCAGTTTTGCTATGTAGTTATTTTTCTTATGGTTCAATTAAAACATTCTCTAGTTTTATTATGGTTCCTCCTTGGCCCATAGACTATTTCCACAACTAGAAAGTATTTTTAAGGAACAGATAAGGAAAGAGACAACCTAACTCTAATCCTAATCCTAACCACAACTATGACTCCTTTGGTGAGCACATATATTGTAAATGCTTTTATGTATGGTTTATCTTTTTTACTGGTTAAATCATAGTTTTTAATGGAGACAATTTCTTAATTTTAATAGAGTCCAATTATGAAAACAATTTTATGGATAATAATTTTTGTGACCTACTTAGGAAGTTCTTGCTTATCTCAAGACCATGAAAATATTCTTTTTTCACCTAAAAATTATCGTTTTATTTTTTCTTTAGGCTTATGCTGTATCCTAAGCCATTTTTTAAAAAATTGTTTTTATTATTTTAAAATATACTTTATTTGTGCCCATTAACTTACAAGATATTGGTTTTCAATGTGGTATTTTTGATACATGTGATGGTATATGTTGATCATATTGATATCCCCATTATCTTCTTATTTTTACCTTTTTTATTTTAAAGAGGGTAAAATTAAACATAACAAAGCAGATCATAAGAAAACAATTTAAGAAACAGAGCAAGACCACTGGAGATCTTCACTATCTATCATATTGTCTCTTGTTTTCTTCCAAATAGTTGTCCATATCTTCACATACAGTGAATTCATAACGAACAAAATAGTATTAAACTGATCAGAACAGGATAATGAAGGCATTTTAGGTCTTCAAGACCAGACAATAGGGAAGTCAACAATGGCTGCCATAATGTCTCTCATTCTCTTTGAAATAGCTGTTCATATCTTTATGTATGTAAAATTAAACAAAACTAAACAAAATCAAAATTCAAATTAAACAAAAGAAAACAGACTAATATCACTCTGAAAAAATAACAGTATTGTTAGATTTTGTATCATGATGCTATAGAATCAGCACTGGGTATCATAGGGTCTCTTTTTCTTCAGAGTATGTGTTCATTACATTGTGCATTATATAATCAATTCTTATAAACTGTTTAGAAGTTCTACACATGCATGAATCTCTACATGTATGCCTATCCTTTCTGTATTAGAGGGAGAAACAAATCAAAACAAGACAACAAAACAAATTCCTAGAAAAATATAAAATGAATAAGATATAAAATCACAATAATAGGTGATCTACAGTAGTTATTATGATGTCTCTTGTTATTTTCAATAGAATTGTCTGTATCATCAGGCATAGGATAGTTGAACATAGCAGTACATAGCAATATTAATAAAAACAAAACATTAGAGACACTATAGGACCTCAAAAGCAGTTAATAATCAAACCGGAATGGATATCCTATTGAATCTCGTTGTCTTCAGAGTAGTTGCCTCTACTCTCAGACTTGATACTACCAAGCATACCAGATTTGAATAAAATCAGTCATGACAAAACAGTAATTTAACAAACCAGCTTTAAATAAGATCAGCCATAGTAAGACAGTGTAAGTAACACAGGGCTTTAGTTTAAGTTAATAGAAAATTAAGGATAGTTATCATAGTATATCCTGCTATGTTTGGAATAGCGATCTGTGCCCTCAAATCTAGTATGAATAGAAAGACTGGAACAGAATAAAATCAAACTAAACAGAGCAATAAGACTAATGTGGCTTTTAAATCCTAATACACTATTAACAATGTTCTCTGCCTTCCTTTTTTAGGCAATTCCTCCCCTTTCACTTTCTCAGGGTGCTTTGTACATTTTGGGTCCCACTAACTCCTTTAGTTTTTAGATTAGTGGGCAACTCGTTATCTACTTAAGTGGTTCTGAATCTTTTTACCCCTGAGGTTGATCTTGAGCTTTACCTACTAAAGCCTCAAGGTTTTCCTTCCTTATAGCTGAGTAGTTCTCCACTGCACAAAAGTGTCATGACTTTCCAACGTGTCTGCAGCTGCTGCATGAGCTCCCATTACCTTTTCATACACTGAATTATCTTTGATGAAGATGCATGGACTTAAATAGGCATCATTTTACAAATCAGGTGACTAAATATGATTAGTTTTGTTTCTGTATTGTATTCTACTCCATTTATCTATAAATCTTTGTGCCTTATTTATTTTACTTTACTTTTTTTTTTTCAAAGTTCCTTTTCTAACCCTCTGCTGCCAGTGTTTGTGTTTTTGTTTTGTTTATCCCTCCATCTCTACTTGCTCCCCTCCATTGTGCTGACTTCAGGGAAGTTGACCTGAATGGATTACATTAAAGTCTGATTCTGGGACCAGTGGAGTACCTTGGGAAGAGGTTATAGAGAGTGAGGAAAAATCAGGACATTTAAGCTTCTGTTTTCTGTCCTATGAGGTTCCCTCCAGTTGGTTTTGTGACTTCACCAAATGTCTCTGCTACTCCCAAAGCAGCAAAGCCTACACAGTTTCTCTCTTGGATTCTGATAACTCCTCCCCAAAATTATCTCTTCAGTTTTAGAATAAGTGATGCTCCTATGCCTGCTAACCCTGCCCGAGTATCTGAATTGTCCCTTAGTAACTCCATACCTGATAATATATCCTTTGCACACAAAATTCTTATAAGATCCTAATTTGAATGCACTGTTGTCTATTGAAACCCTAATTAATTGTATTGGTATAGTAGAGAATATTAAAAGATGCATCAATTATTCAGCATTTTTGCTAAGTATTCTTTAGTTTTAATAGGAATTCTAGAATTCAATAGAAATTCTGGGCAAACAATCATAGCACTTTACATATGGCAACTTTTTATATTTTTTCCTTTTTTTTTTCCCTAAGACTCACTAAGGTCTTTCCTAAGGGTCTCACTATGTAGTTCAGGCTGGCCTTGGGCTCACTATGTAGCCCAGGCTGGGCTTGAACTTGCAGTGATCCTGCTTTCTCAGCCTCTGGAGTGCTGGGATTACTGGATGCACCATCATGCATGCAGCCTGGTTTCTTCCTTTAAAACACTCTTAAATTCTGTTCTTTTTATTTCTTATTTTCTTAGTTTAAGCTTCCATTATAATGGCTGACCAGAAATAATTATAGTTGTCTTGATTTTAAGTTGAATGCAACAAGTTGTTCACTGTTAAGCATAAAATATATTGTAGATCTGTGATAGGAACCCTTTGAAACTCAAGGAATTCTTCTCTTTGCTATTTTTTAAAATTATAAACAGATTTTGACTTATATTAAGTGTTTTATTGCATTGTTTGAGGTAACTATACAATTCTTTTCTTTTTCCTCTTTCTTCTTTCCCTTGGGTTCTGTTAGCGTATGTCAAAGATAAGGCCATGGAGACTTTCATTTCTTGCCCCAGCATAGAAGAGGCATAAGAATTCCTTAGTATTCTCAAGCGAAGCTTCAGCTTTTTGGAATTTTTTGTGTGAAGCATTACAAGATGTCTACAGTAGCATAATGTTGATATACTATTTTGTTTACAAAATTCTGCTCGTTTATTTGTTTAAGAGCTCTTTTCCTCTAGGAGTTAGAGAAAGATGGAATAAAGGAAGTGATGCAGAGAGAAACCCATTCCATTTGTAATTTTCAGTGATCCTGTGAGGCTGGTGTTAGTATGCCCGAGGCTCAGAGAGATGAAACGCCCTACACAGGATACTGGCAGAGAAATAGCTTGGCTCTCTGGCTTGAAATCTTACACTTAGAAACATTGCTTGTTTTCTCACTATAGAGAAGTGAGATTTGGGCCCTACTACTAAGTGTAGTTCTTCTCCCTGACCTCAGCTATAAACATACCCACCTATTTCCCCACCCATCTGTTCAGTTCCCCAGCAGTTCAACCATCAGGAAGTATCGTGGTTCTCTACTCTGCTCCCAGACCTCCTGCACACACTGGGACTCCTGCCACTGCTGTGAGTACTGCATGTGCAGAGAGGTAGGTGGCCCTAGGTTCCTCTCTGAGAAAAGGAGAGGAAGTGAGACAGGCTGCAGTTTCACTTCTCTGTGAAGCAAACTGGAGCCATAATGGGTAGGCACTTGCTGCTGTCCGGTCTGCTCCTAACCCTTCCTCTGACTGCAGGCTGGAGTGCTTCCAGTTGCCTGGTGACAGAAGGTTCCCGCCTGCCCCTGGTCTCTGGCTTCTATGGAATCTGCTCTTTGGACCCTTGGCTGCTCCTCCTTGTTTCATGCAACTCAGTGACCAGTGTGACACAGGCATTGCAAGCTGTGCTTCCAAAGGTGGAGGGGCTCTGCCTCTTTGGTTCTATTTCTATTCTCCCCCAGGATGCCTTCTCTACCTTGCCTGGGTTCAAGGCCCTGGGGTTGAGCCTGCATCTCACCCAGCTCCTGCCAGGAGCTCTCCAAGGATTGGGACAGCTTCAGAAACTCTCTTTCATATCTTCTCTAAAAGGGAATACCTCTTTTTGATTCCTTTTTGCGACCTGAGATCTCTCCAGAAACTCCAATTCTTAGGCGTCTGCCTGGACAGGAATTTGAGTGTCCAATTGCCTACCAGTCTACAACAGCTGGCTATCAAGTACGATTGCCTTCAGGATGTGGGAGAGTTGGCTGACATCTTCCCAGATCTGGTATATGAGCCCTCCTCTGGGGATGCCTGGACCCTGGACATGTTGGATCTGTCAATGAGCAGGAAGCTGAAAGTGGACAGCCCTGGGGCCCTCCAGGGCCTCAAGGTAAGGACTCTATACCTGGACCACACAAAGATGGAGGTAGCTGCAGTGGAGGGACTAGGGCTTCAGAGGCTCAGTGCTCTGTTTATGACATTCACTAACATGGCTGAGCTTCCTGCTGATATAGTGGCCCATTTTGAGCTGCAAGAGCCGAATTTAGAAAACAATAAAATAAGGGACACAGCTCTGGAAGCTCTGGCTTCCTGCCACAGCCTGAAGGGCTTGAATCTTCAGTCTAATAACCTCAATAAGCCGCCCGTAGGTTTCCTGGCAGCCATGACCAGTCTTCAGAGACTAAATTTGGCCCATAACCAGTTACAGAGTGCCACCCTGTGCGCTAATGAGACAAAAGCTGTATCAGGACAGTGCACCCTGAATCTGTCCGTCAATCGGCTGCGTAGCCTGCTCCCAGCCTCCTTCTCCTGCCTGCCCAACCTGCAGGAGCTATTCCTTCAAGGAAGCTACCTGGTTTTTTTGGATGGACAGGTATTCTAGGGTCTAGGGAGGCTAGAGATCTTAGATTTGAATAAAAATCCATTAGTAGAGCTGAGTGAGGGGTGGTTGAGTTCTCTGCCTTCACTGACCACCCTCAATCTGCTGGACAACCGAATTTTGCTGAACACAATCTGGGGCTTCGGGGATCAAGAGAGTCTGCACAACCTAAGACTACAGCTTTCTTTTTCTTCTCCTGGGATGACAGTGTCTTTGTTCACAGTGCTGACCAGCTTGGAGCTCCATGCTGGCTCAGGCACAAAGCACTGGAAGTTGTTGCCTAGTGTATTTCCATTCTGGCAGACTCTGACTTTAAAAGACTGGGGGCTGCAGCTGGGGATCCAGAACATCTTCAAGATCTTCCCTTCCCTTCGTCAACTTTTCCTGCTTGGCAGTAGTTTGGAGGCCGTCTGCTCCCAGAACACCTCTAGCTTCTTCCTCTGGCAGCTCCCCAGGCTCCATTCCCTGAGAGTATGGGGGGACGGGGGATAGGCGCACAAGGGGGAATAGCCTTGAGGAGTTGAAGCTGGAGGCCCTAAGATTCATCTCACAGCCCCGTCCAGTGTGGCTCGAGGAGCTGGTGGGTGAGCTGCCCAGGCTTCAGGTGTTGCATCTGGTTAACATGGGGTTGGAGACATTGTCAGGTTCTGCTTTCAAGGGCTTCAGCAGTATTTAGATCTTAATGCTAGACTAGAGAATAAGCTTGTTCTGGATGTCAGCCTGTGGGAATATAGTCCTCAGATGTCCAGTACATGTACATTCTGTCTTCATCCTTGGCCTGCCAGTGTGCCAATGCCTGGGTAGGACTGTGGCTGGAGCAGTCCCCCAGAATATACACATATGTATCAAGAAAGCCTCTATGCCACTTGAAAATAGGAAACAGGTCTAAGAGTCTTCTTTCCCTCTTTCTCTGGAGTCACTGCTCTAAGACCTTGAAACTGGAACTGTTTTTGGGCAGCTTTACCTTGCTGCTGCTAATCTCCTTGCCTCTCCTCCAGGAAGCCAGGAACTCCTGGGTCTTCTATCTCCAGGCCTTGTTCAGGACTTGGTTCCAGAGTCTGAGAGGTCAAAGGGATGAGGGCAAGAGGTTCCTCTATGAAGTGTTTGTGTCCCATTGCAGGAAAGATCAAGACTGGATAATACGGGAGCTGCTGCCAGTTCTGGAGGGCTGCTCTCCCATTGAACAGGGACTGCACCTCTGCCTCCCTGAGCGAGATTTTGAGCCAGGCAAGAATGTGGTTGATAATGTGGCAGACAGCATAGCAGGCAGCCGTGTAACACTCTGTGTGCTAAGTCATAAGGCCCTGCACACACCTCACTGCCACCTGGAGCTTCGCCTGGCCATTTCCCTCCTGCTGGCTTCCCTGCACCCCCCAGCGCTGCTGCTGGTCTTCCTGGAGCGCATCTCTCCTCACCCCCCCCCCCCACTACCATAGACTGGCCTGGCTGCTCCACTGAGGAAACTACTGCTTGTGGCCCAAGCAAGACTAGAAGGAGGCTTCTGGGCTTGGTTGAAGAGTAGTCTGGAAAAGCTTGGGTTAGGGCCGGGCAGGGGTACATGTGTCAGAGGGTAGGGGCAGAAAAAGCAGGCATGCTGGCCAGGAGAGAATGGACATGGGTATGAGTTGATAGGTTGAACTCAGTTTTCAGGAGGGGTGCTGTGCGTGCAAGGAGGATCAAATGCTGGGAACACAGACTTTGGGGATGTTCCAGTGCTGAGTGAGAAAACTGGGGGATGGCAAGTGGCCATGTGGTATGCTATGTGATCTCATTTATCTACGAAATGCATGGCTTGATGAGATTTTGTTTTAAAAAACATTGGTGACTCAAAGGAGGCAGGCGGTAAAGGGACTACTGAATCACAGAACTTGAAGCCCAGAGCAAATAAGGCAAGAGGGATTCATGAGGCATGTGGGGGAAGGCAGGAAGGTGGGCTCTGGGAGGGTGCTCCTAAACTGTAGAATCTGGGACATGGCCAAATTCAACCATGTCTTTAAAGGATAAAGGATTCCTTCTGTGATCTGGGGTTATAGAAAGGTTAGTGGCTGAGGATCAAACAGCTGGCCAGAAGACAGACTGATCCCCCTCGGTTGGAAATATAAATCTGCATTCACATTTATCACACTTTTGAGCGTGATAGCAATACTGTCATTCTGAACACTCTTCTGAAGACTGCCTTTCCCCTGGGAACTTCCTAAGCAACCCTAAAGATTCAGCTCACCCATCATTTTCTCTAGAAACCTTCCCTGCCCTCCAGACTTAGATAAACTGTTCCCCTGGGCTCTCTCAACTTCCTGCATCTCTCTGTTGCAAAGGGCAGACCTGAGAGCCCTTAGTGCAGTTATTTCCAAAGTGAGATGCACAGGGTGATCCATTGGGCTTAAAAAGAAAATGTTACAACTTTTATTTCTCTTTTAAAAGTCTTACCTCGTTCTAAAACTAGACTGTCTGCTTTGTAACTGTGTGGCTTTGGCATGTTACTTTATTTTTGTCCCTTAGTTTTCTGTTCTGTAATAAGGAAAAGCATTACACCTTCCCCAAAAGGATTTTGTGAGGATTAAATCAGCTAATACGTCTAAAGCACTAACAGCAGGACCTAATTGTGTCTATAAATGTTCAATAAATATATATGTACTATAAAATAAGTAAATACACAAATGATGGAGATATATGCTTCAAAACTCAAAGGAGTACTTGACTGGGAAAGTTTTACCAGACTCTGTTGCTTATTTCTGAATGACACTGGCCAGGGCACTTTGCATCTTTAGAGAGTTTCTTAGTTTTTCTCTTCAGTAAAACGCCAGGCTTTATTAACAGAAAGGCTAAGGGAATCCACAGAAAATTCCACGTTAGCCATAGGGTGAGGGGCGCCCTCTTGTGTTCTAATGGTGTTTTTCTTTTTCCCTACTTGGTCCACTTCTACCCCTCCTTCAAGTCAGCTTGAAGTAGAAATCTTTACCTGACTCTGCAAAGCTGCCTTCCCAACTTTAGAGCCTGACACTCTCTCAAATGTCTCCAACGCACTTAGCACCCCATATATCTGCACTCTCTCTCCCTTCCCAAGCCCTGTCCTCTTTCTGTCTTTGGTCTCATGAAGTATCAGAGAGATCTTTGCAGGTACATCCCAAGGGTTCAAACTCTGCCACTTACTGCCTCTGTATTCTTGAGGAAGTCACTTTCTCTCTCTAAGCCTCACATTCCCTCTTGGTAAATTGGGGGTAAAAACACTAATTTCAGGGCTTTTGTGAGACTTCAACAACAAGGAACATTAATAGGTTACTATTAGGTTTACTCAGTAAAATCACATTAGCTGTTACTATAAATTGGATGAAACATGGTTTATAGAAGAGAAGGAATTCAAACTGGGTTATTAAAATTAAGATACAAATTTCTCTTGATTTTAACACTAGCCATCATGTCGAGGGACTTTACCATATGCTAGACACTGTCAATTACTCAAAATCTTATAGCCATTAATAAAATTATTGGAGGCAGTGGTTACACATACGCTAAACTCATTATATACTTCTGTTATTCCTCTCAGCAACAAACTTACCAGGAAGATACTATTATCATTTCTATTTTCCACATGAGGAAACTGAGGTACAAAGAGGTTAAGTGATTTGTTCGAGCTTTCGTGATCAATACGTGGGCAAAGTGCATTTCCTGATTGAAATAAGTCTCAGACAACAAGGACTCCAGAGACTATGTTTTTACTATATCATCTAATTTAATCTTTACAACTCCCTACAAAGTAGGTTTGGTTATACTACTTGCATTTCATAGGTGAGATAATCGGAGACATAACAATGCAATAGTCTTTGGCCACACAAGTAGGAAGTAGGTGGGTCAGAGTTTGGATCCATGTGACTACAAAATCCACATTATCAACCCCATATTACATTGCTCCTACCTCAAAGTATTCACAATGGCAATAGCATATTATAAGATTTTTTTTGTAATAATGATTCACATTCTTCTAATACCCACGAAGTGTTAAGTGCTGTATAAACTGATTTACATAATTGCTAGCATTTATCGCATATTGTTAGGATGGGGCCTTGAATGAACTGTTTTAGGATTATCATGTCATTTGCAACTTCACCAAAAGCCAGTGACATGGATGCTATAATTGTCTTTATTTTTCAGAAGAGGAAGGAGAGGGTCAAAATTCATCCAAATTCATGCAATTCAGCTGTAAGCTGGAAATTAAAGCTGCAACTATCTTCCGGTCTCCTCCCTCCACTCTGGTCACCTCTAGTCTCCCTTTTTCCTATATCTTGTTTCTGCTCTGGCTTCTCCAGGCTTACTGAGTTCTCGGCCATCCCTCAGTAGGCTCCGCCCCTTCAGCATTGGTGTCCGCCCACTGGGCGGTGCCGTTATTACGAAGCCAACGGAAGGGGTCTTGATAGCAACAGGCCGCGCCCCACGTGTCGAACCCGTTTTGATTCGTTCCAGTGCCAGAGCTGTGGGAAAATGACACAGCTATTGGTGTACATCTCAAAAGCTGCACACGGAGGGAGCCACCCACAGGCACTCGCGCGGCTCCTTCTGGGAGTTGTAGTTCTAGCTGCTCCGTTCCCGGGCTGGCGCCGTCCGGACTCCGCGTACCAGCATTCCCTGCGCGCGCATTGGAGCACTTCCGCCCTGTTGTGAAGTGGGTGTCTTGGTGGGTGAGTCCGGGTGGCGGGGCGGGGGCAGCCGAGACGCAGGCACTGGGCTGGAGGCTTAGGAGGTGTTGGTGTCACAGAGGGACGGGGAAGGTGAGAAGGCCAAAGAACCTTCAATGTAGGGGTGGAGGGTGAAGGGCGGTCAGAAGATGAAGTGTACGGTGATGGCAAGGGTCATAGAGGGGTCGTGGATGAGGAGAGAGGAGGCCGCGGGAGTGAGGCAGGGCTTAGAAAAGGTCTGTAGGAGAGGCGGAGAGAGAGGTTTAGGAGTCGGAAAAGTCACATTGGGATCTGGAGAGCACAGAGGGAATGATAGAAGGTTCTGGGGCCCTGGCAAGAAGTGAAGATATAAAGGCCTAAACTGGAAGCCAGATTAAAAAAAAAAAAGTGTTTCATTTGCTACCTACCGCCTAGAATAAGCATACCTAATTTGATAGCCTTTTTAATGGTTGTTAGTTACTTCTAGAACTCAGTGGGTGGCACTGGCCATTATGTTCTGTCCCAAACATGCACTTCTTTCATTATGCCTGATGGAAATGAATGGCTGTCATTCACTTTACCTACCTACTGACTTTATCTAATGATTCCTCTTGCATTCTTCCACACTGATGGATCCTCACATCTTTGTTTAATGTCTTTAATTTGCACCTTTCATGTCAGGGGTTTGGTCAAAGTCTCCTTTTCACTTTCCCAGCATGGACCAACACACCGAACCCAGTGTATCTTGTTTAACTGACAGATTTGATTGTGCTTTCTCCCTCTAAAAGCCTGTCATCACAGATTGAGTTAAATCCAAACATCTTAGCTTGTATCTAGACCCTTTATAAACTCCCTTTGCAGCCTAATGATCCATCCCATGCTTCAGGGCTGTCTAGTTTCCCACTATTTTTCTGGACAGGCCATCATATATACTGTTTTCTCTGCTTAGAATACCTTTCCCCCAGTTATCTACTAAGAGATCCATTCTTCCTTCAAGAATCAACTCAACTGTTACTTTGTTCAATTCTCTTAAGCAGATTAAGTCATCTCTAACCTTCTGTTCCCATAACTTCTCTTACTGTATTTATTGCATTCTATCATAATTATCTGTGACTTCAAACATATTTCTTCCACTAGATTGAGTATCATTGTACAGGTACAATTGTGAATCATCATTTCCTCACTGCTCAGTCCAAAAACAGTACACATTTGATTTAAGCCAAGGAAGTCAAATACTTGGTGAATGACAGGAGACCATTAGGGTAAGCTTTATTATACTTGAATTGAAGACCAGTGGATTTCCAGGGCCAAGAATTTCAGTGTTCTGCCTTTCAGAGTTGTTTGCTGGAAGCCAAGGCTAATTTAGAGCCAATGGGAATTTCAACTGAGGATAGCAAATAATATAGAATATATACTTTCACTTCCATTTTCTATGTGCCTCACAGTCATGGTTTATTGGTTATAGTACATACTCTTTTGGAACTGGATTCCTCAACATAGTGCTGTAGACCATCTTTTAGTTGACTGAAGTCCTTGCTTTAAGCAAAACTTACTTGTTCTCCCTAGTTTAAACCCTATTATGTTAAGGCTGGCCTGCTTTTAGCCATAGCTTAGACCATCAGCCAAGTGGGCCTGAGAGCCATTGGGAACTTGTAGTTTCTTTTTTGTTTGGAGGCCACACACTAGTCTTTGCTTTTTTTCTGGGTGTGGGGAGAACTTTCTCTTCTCATCCTTCACACTGGAATGGGTTGGTTCCTCTTGTCTGTATCCATATTCCCAGTCTCAGGACCTAAGATGTTTTTCGGCTTCTCTGTGTTTTAAAAGGGATCCTGCTCTTGATTGTTGTTAGCACCCATCTTTTGTCTTTTGTGGGTGGGATCTGTACCATTTCTAGATTTTCCTGGATGTTGAAGTCATTAAGCTGAAAGGTCACTAAGTGGCAGCCCATGGTGAATGACTTTTAGCCATCATGCTTTATTTAGTCTCATAGTGTTTGCAATAATTTGTGTTGGCTGCTAACTTTTTTTTTTTTAAATCGGTACCTGGGATCGAACTCACAACTCTGCGCTTGCAAGGCAGGCACTTATGCGGCTGAGCTAAATTCCCAGCCCCCGTTTTTTTTTTTTTTTTTAATTGGTGGCTGCTAACATATAAAAATCCATAATTCTAGCTTCTTTTGGAAAAATTGGAAGTTTGGGGTATACTTTGGGTCTGTATTCCTCCTGGAATATTCAGTTCCCTCCCATTTCACTTTCCTTCACACATGTATTCATTTGCATTCCTAGGCCCCTGTAGGAATATAAGATGATAACCACTGATTCTAGTTTCCCTTTCCTCTTGTTTTGTACCCATCATTTTAACTAGAGAGTCTGAGGTGACTGCTAAGTAGGGTTAGACTGTAAGGTGCCAGGGGTCTTGGCCAGGACAAGGAGTTGCCTGATAGTGAAGGCCTGCAATCTGGATTGGAGAAATACCAAAAAAAGTTTAAATAGACAAAGAGCTATAAGCAAAAACAAAACAAAACAAAACAAAACAGAATAACCTCCCCGCCCCCAAGTATTATGAGGGAGTCCCACCACGGGGAGAAGAGAGGGCCCAGCCCACTAGGGAAGATCAGATGGAAGAATCTTTGTGAGAGATCTCCTTGGTTTCAGAGGCAATATACTTGTGGATTTTTTATCTTATCTATCATGATACCTGATTGCATAACAAAGTAACAGCATTTTTTTTTTCTAACATGGTGCAGGTGGCCCCTTTTATATCTAACTTATGACATTTTTAATGTATCTTTTGATTGTATTTTTCAGCAGGATGTTTAAGACCAAATTAAACTGAGACCTGTACTAATTAAAATTAACTTCTTGCTCTCAATCAAGGCCAATTAAATCTCGTCAGGATTTGTCTTAGAACGGTGTATAGAACCTCTCTGTTCTTGACAGTGTCAGCTGTCAGGATGAGTCATGGCCATTGCTTGATGAAGTTGCTTTTTGTGAAAGATTGGGAGACTTTTTTTTCTTCGTGACTCTCCATAGGCAAGTATGTATCGTAGATCACTTTTCTCTTTGTTCCCACAGTCTCCTTGATCAGAAGACCACGGACTCACAGAGTTAGGAAATGTCATTGCAGAGGTTCTCTTATATCCTGGGTTTTTATTGATATCAGAGGGCTGGAGTCACAATATTGGTTATCTGCTAGCCTATCTATCTTTTTAGTTTTTGGTCGCCAAACCTCAGTTGTTGAACATCCAGAAGAGAAGATTGCTAATATTACAGTGTAATAAAGCAGGAAGCATGACATTACTACCTTATCTGAATATCAAGCAGCTTAGAACATAAAATAGAGCTGTTGTTTTTTTATCAACCATGGATGTCCTAGTATTTAAATCCCTGTAAATGTTAACAGTTACACATTTGACTCAGAAAATTTGAAATTAAAACCATACATAATATTGTAGCATGACAATTATGACATTTTGTAACCACCAGAATTTCCATTCTGACATAAAATACCTCTTTTAGTCAAGCATAGTTATCTAATACATAAAAAAGCTTTTATCTAACGTATTGACCTTTGGTGAGATGTACATTACATAAGTTTTTGTTAAAGGCAGATGTCAGAATCTGAAAGAAAGCCTATTACCATAAACAACCCCTGTTTTACATTTTGGAAGACCTGTAAATCTGGAAGCATGAATATATTTAATCACAGCCATATGAAAACCTTGATATTTTAATTTGGTTTTGTATCAAGAACATCTTTTATGAAAAAACCTTATTGTATTACTTTTATATATAAAACTTAACCTTTTGATGATGACCAATGTAAAACCCAACAGAGTGTTTTTGATCAATGAGAGACTCAAGTCATGGTATATAAATAGCAGTGTACATTAAATTTATACAGCCAATTATAGCCTGATTTTGACCAGCTGGCAATTCAGGTGGGAGCATGTTTTTAGATCTAAACCTTATTAAATTTTGAACAAATGATCCAGAAATGAAAGAAAAAAATTGTTGAGCTCAAATAAAAATCAGCTGTTTGTGGGTATGACAAAGAAACAGAGATGGTCTGTGCTGATTGGACATAGAAACATATAAGCTTAACAGACATCTTATAAAATCAGAGTGCACTCAAATGTATTTGGCTAGTTTGAATTATAACATAGTTTTTAGATTTGTAAGTAAAAATGGACTAATTAGAACCATTTTATAGGTCAATTAAGAGATCGCTTATAGTAAGAATCAAAAGGAATAAAACCTTTTACATCTTTTAAAGCAAAGACAGTTACTAAAGACAGCTATAGAAAGCTATAGGAATCACAAATTGAAGTTCTTATTTGATGTTAAATAAGGTTGGGTGGGGATAATGATGGTGACACTTGGGAGGGGTTGCAAAGTGGTGAGAGGGAGGAGTGAGATTGGGTATGAGATTGGGCAGGTGGGGAAATTGGCAATAGTGGGGTGGAGGCGGAGCAGGAGGGAGAAAGGGTGATGGAGAGGGGAGGAGAAGATGGTGACAGAGAACAGGAAATCTCTTGGGGATATGGGGGTGGCAAAGGCAGAACGGACATCATCTGTAGGGTCAGTGGGATTGTCAGGTGGTGGGTATGGCTATGTGGAGCAGACCAAAAGAGCTTGGGCCACTCCACATGCTTGAATGAGGGAGGGTCCTGCCCTGAGCACAAAAAAGTCGTGCACATAAGAAATCTCTAACCATTTGCCTTTCTGATAGCAGAAATTGTGTAGATTATGGAGGATATTGAAAGTGTCCTCTTTGGGCTAGCAGCTGGCATTATTGGACATAAGCTGTCTGGCAGTAGACTTAGGGTGAGACACCCAAGCAGAGTGTGTTTTTGGGGTCGGGAAGGGATATTTCCCATAGTGATTGAATTAGAGGTGAGCCAGAGGTTCCAAAAGCCAAGCCACAATCCCTTGGAGAGTTGTCACCCTTCTCAGGATTGTGTGAACAAGAGAAATCCCCAATACCTGTATCTACCAGTCACCAAGGAAACAAGCAGGGAGTCCTGAAGGACGTTGTCCCAAAGGATGTGGGGGAAATCCTGACATGAGCTCACAGTTTATGAGACTGGAACCCTGAAGCAAGAGGTGGCTCACCTGTGAGAATTGACATGGATTGGTGTTGGATGGAAGCTACTAATGGCAGTGGCAGATATGAGAGAAAGAGGAAAATAGGGGCAAGAAATTGCAGAAAGGTGGGTTGTTGACTGCAGGAGCTCAAATCAGGGGTTGACTCCCCGGAGCCACTTGCCCTGTTGATCTAAGTCACAGCGCCAAAAATGTTTTTGGCACGGTAGAGAAGTAAGAGTAGAAAGAGGAAAAAAAGCCTTTATTGTGGGCATGGTAGGGCTGCAGAAGCATGCAAGATCTCCCTGAGGCAGACAGAGAAGCGGTGTGCTTTTATTTGGTTTGGCAGGGGGTGGTGTTTGAAGGGGCGGGCAAAATGATGATGTATTGACAGCTGATTTGGGGGGTCGCTGGCGTGCGCGAAAAGTGAGATGTTCAATTTCAGCTTGGAAGTTAACACAGGAGGGACCTGCCGTTCCTCCACGGCCCATTGCCATGCTTGGCAGGTGCCATACTGTTTCATATGGGCGGAGCCCATCACTTTCTACTCTCATGTACCATGCTCTTAGAAGTCTGGATGACTAGCAGACCTGGAGGAGGCCCTGTGATACAGTTAAGCAAAGTGGAAAAGACAGGTCTTGGGCTAGATTCTAATTACCATTTGCTAGTTGTATAATCTTAAGTGAATTCATAGAATCTTAATTTCTCTATATATACTGAAGATGTTGTAGGACTGTACATTACCAGATAATTACCTAAGGTCAGCTCAGAAGGTGAAAATCACATTTAGTTAAAAATTGCAGCTTGCAGCTCTTTGGACAAGGAGCCATTTTAGAAGTCAACACAGTTATCTTTCAGTAAGCTAATCAGCACAGCCAGGTTTTCTTGTGTGAACATTAGATGGAAGAGTTGAGTTTTTAGGGACTGTAGTGTGTGAAACATTCACTCACACTCAGTGTAAAGAAACATTTAGGGGAACTAAGACCAGATTGGGGAATAGTATAGTCATGGGTATCAGCATCATATACTTACTCCAGAACAGTCATATGGTGAATAGAACAGGTGGTATGATTTAAATTTTGCTTTTTTCCTATTCTTTGTATTGGAAGTTACAGGTCAGTGAAATGCAGTGCCACACCATAGATATTCTATTTTCCTGGAGAATTTGGTGAGAATGTCAGTGTAGAACACCTAGCACTGTGCCTGGCACTCCATAATTACCTACCTTTGGAGGGTGCTGGTGTTAGTGAGGCTTGGGTGTTCCTGGTGGCTTCACGACTGAGGAGTGCCATTTGCTCATCCATTTTCTCATGGCTACCTCAGTGCAAGTCACCCTTATAGCAGATGACTGTGCTGACCTCCATCTCTATTCACCATAGCCTGCTGTCCATGTTGTTTACAAAAGGAGTAGAAAAGATTAACATAGGGTTCCTGGGCTTTCTGATTTCTATGTGAAACTAATCTTTGGACTTTTGGATCATCCCAAAAGAAGATTCCTATTATCTGTGACTTGGACCCAGTAAGACTGCTATTCTGTGTTTTGTTGTAGTGTCCTCTTTATGCAGGAACACAGATATTTTTGGTTACTTACTTACTGTCTCACAAGACTGTAGCTTTTGTGAAGACAGGATTGTGTGACCTAGCTACTGTTGGGTCTGTAGCTCCTGGTATAATAGATTACGTACTGGATGCTGTGTGAATATTAGTAAACCAGACGAGGCCAAATGTATCTGGTCTAATCCATCAGTAAAACAGTAGTTTAAAGAAGAATTATGAAAGATTAATTCTTTAGTTTAATACAAATTGCGGATCTTGCATAGTCCATTAGGCTCTTGATGTGTCAGATTCACCATTTTAATAAAAGGCAACATGACTTTTTAATGGCCCTGCTATCAGATAGTGAGTTGAGGACTGGATACATAGTAAAGTAAGGTAAGTTCTAGTCCTAGTAACCCAGTCTAATGAAGTTGTCAGATGTTGGAATAAGTTACTCTAATAGTGTAGGGTAACATTTTAGATGTATGTACCAGCTGCTTTATGAAGGAAAAGAGGATCAGGGGCCAATTTTTAGAGACCAAGGAGGAGGGCAGGGCATGATATGCATCTGATATGATCATGATATGCAGACACTTTTTTATCACAGGAAGTGACATTTGGGCTGGTAGCTAAAGGATGATAAAAGAAATTGCCTGGTAGCCATGAGTTGTGCTCCTAGCCTCTAAGTATGTGAAGAGCTTTAGGGAAATCTTTATTTTTTAAATTCATTTTTGCCTTGTTTTCATACTGGGCAGTCCAAATGGTCTAAAGTGCAAAATGCTAACCTCTCCACTCATAGTCCAGCTGTGTTGTTGCCGCTCAGAAGCAGCTCATAGCTTTCTTTGAGTGGACATGCCATGTTAGCTTGTCTCAAAGAGCTTATTTTCTCATGTAATCCAGCATGAGTACCATCAGGGAGGCTGTAGTCTCCTTGGGGATGTATGCGTACGCAGCCATCTAAAACAGCATGGAAAATGGTACAAGTCATGAAGAGATGGACATAAAGAGAAGAAAGGAATTCCTCTAGCATGAGCAGCTCGTTTATTTATTTTTTTTTTAAATCTACTGTGCATAGAAAGGGGTTAGTTATAACTTTTGCTTCATGACACAGCTGCATTAGTTCATCATTTACGACTTCACTGTTTGCTCAGTGCTTCCACCCTGTGCTGAGCACTGTACTAGATTTCTCTGGAAGTTTATAATGTAGTGGATGAGATAATTATAATAAAGAGTGATCAGGGTTATGGTAGAGAAAACGTAAGATGCTGTGGAAGCTCATGCTGAGGGTGGAATCTTGTTTCAGGGAACACTGAAGTTCTTGAGGAAAAAAAGTGGAGACCTAACTAGGTGAGGAAGGGAAAGGAGAATGGGAGTTCTGTGAGTCACATGTTGGAATTGCAAACTATGTAGTTGGAAGCCCCGGACTAATGGGAGCATGATGAAGAAATGAAATTCGACCCTTGGACAAGGTTTGCATTTTATCCTGAGGGAAAAGATCACTAAAGAGTATTTAGCAGGGAAGTGATGTCACGTTTTGTTCTAGTCTGGTGATTATGCAAAGAATGGACTGGGAAAGGAGGTGAGTGTAGTTGAAGCAGGCTAATACTCAATGGAAATGTCCTGTAGGTATCTGGATGTTAGGGTCTGGAGATAGCACTGGCTGGAATTTTGAGATGATCAGTTAGACATCATATTACAGTGATACATGGATACTAACGTTTATAGCAGCACAATTCATTATAATCAAATCCTGGAAACAGCTTGTATGTCTATCAGTGAACTAAAGAAAATGTGTTATCTATATACAAGGAATACTGCTTGGCTGTAAGGAAGGATAAATTTGAGACACATGCAGGAAAAATAGATGGTAAATGAAATGAGTCAGACACAAGTTTAAATACCATGTGATATTTCTCACTTGAGTAAGGCAAAGTAAATAAAGAGCAAAATGAAGGTTTGGTAGGAGGAATAGGGAGATAGATACTTTGTAAATGGGAAACCAAGGGCAAGGAACGTGAGCAAGAGAAGGGGAAATAAGAAGATTTGTGTCATGTACATGTACCAAATATGCACAGTGATGTAAACATTCCATGCCATAAATATGAACGAATAATAACAAAACAATGAAAATGGGGAAAGAGGATTTAGAGATGGGGAGGTGGCTACGGGTAGGAAGAAGAATAAAAAAAAGAATCAAGATATGTTATATACATGTATGTACTCCCTAAGATGAACATAAACTTCATGTATTGTAAACATGTATTAAAAAAAATGGTGGTGAGTAATCCCAAATGTATGGCAGGACCAACAGGGAGTGTAGAATTGAGAAAGGGTTTTTGTAAGGAGAACATTCTGTGGAACACCAAAATTTAAGATCAAGAAGAATAGGCCTTACAGAGGGGGTTGACATTTATTGATTTTTAAATTAACTAAGTTTATTGGTACATTTTTAAGTATACATCAATGATCACATTTGTCATAAGGAATTTGTACCCATGCATGATATAACTTGATACCCCCATTTCCCTCCTCTCCCCTCAACTTCTCTTCCTCTCCTTATTTAAAAAAGCTTTGTTTGCATATTTTTCTTCTTTTGAGGGGGTAACATTTAAAACCCAATTGAGGGAAGGACAGACATTGTACATGTGCGAAACGAAGACTTCAGGGCCAGATCATGGAGGCTGGTGCTGGCCGAGGTGTTCAGGCATGTCCTGAAGGACTTAACACTCCATAGCAAGCTGTCTGCTGGCTTTGTGCCAGGCTGTAGTCTTACTTCCTGCCTACAGGAGAAGTACGTTGCTGAGCTTCTCTGTGCCTACCAAAGGAGTTGAACAGTATGGTAGTGGAGGGGTTGTGAGGAAAACGAAGCTCCTGTGTTTTTGCTTACTCACCCTTTGATTTTTTTACTTTCACAGCCTTGAGCAGTCTCTCTCCCAAAGGCCTCTTGAGAGACACAACATAGATGCAGGAAGTCATTGAACGAGGACAACACAGCTGAAGCAAGGCATACAAGCCAGTCAATGGCTGTGGCTCTGGAATCTGAGGCCCAAGCCTCTCCCTCACCAGAATCTCAGAACCTCCTGATTGTGAAACTGGAAGAGGACTCATGGGGATCAGAACACAAACCCCAGAAGGACTGTGATCCTATCTCTGGTCCCGAGGCTTCCCGCCAGCGCTTTAGGCAGTTCAAATACAGGGATGCAGCTGGACCCCATGAGGCCTTCAGCCAGCTCTGGGCTCTCTGCTGTCATTGGCTGAGGCCAGAGATCCGCCTCAAAGAACAGATCCTAGAGCTGCTGGTGCTAGAGCAGTTCCTGACCATCTTACCCCAGGAGATGCAGAGCTGGGTGCAGGCACACCACCCTGAGAGTGGGGAGGAGGCAGTGGCCCTGGTGGAGGATTGGCAACGAGAGGCCCAAGCTGCCCAGCAGCAGGTGAGGCAAATAGTTTGTTTTCCAAAGATAGCTCTGCCAAGGCATGAGAGCTGTGATTTGATTTATAAGTGCCCCAAATCACAATAATGATAACAATAATTATTGAGCAATAATTGTTGACATTTTCTGAGCACTACTATGTAGCAGGTACTGTCAAGTCTTATAAACAATTTAATGAGATAGATACTATTACCCTCATTTTACCAATGAGGAAACAATGGCAGAGTAAAGAGAGTTAATTGGTTCAAGGTTGCACAGCTACTAGCTAGAAGAGCCAGGATTTGAACCCCAGCAATCTGAACTCTTGACTGCTTGCTTGCATAACCACTACTCCAAAGTGCCTCTCAAGAACCATACTGAGCAGTATGGTTAATCTGTATTATGTTTTATGTATATCACAATCTTTGTATGACTTTTTTGGATGGTTATAGCAGTAATATAAGTTAGTAGGAATAGTATTTTCCCCATTTTTGAGGTTAAGGCTCCAAAATCAGAGGACTCACAAATGTCACTTGGTACGCAAACCAGAGCCTAACCCTCCGGTTCCAGTGTCATTGTTTTGCCCATTATAGACGGGTGTGTTACGATTCATGGGAAAGAAAATAGCTTTGAATTGTGAGACCCAAATGAGATATTAACTAATATTTTTTGAGTACTCTTGTGTCAGATACTGTTCTAATCTTTTATGTATCCCTCATCCTATGAACCTAGCAGTCCAGGTAGGTACTATTGTCATTGCCCTCTTTCAAGTGAGTTGACATACAAAGAGGTAAGTAACTTGTCTAAATTTATGTAGGTACCAGAGCTGAGAAAAGGGCAGTGAACACATTGTGTATGCAGCACATTGTGTTACAATTTCAACAATTTATGAGCAGCCCTGAAGGCCTATGTTGTAATATATAATTTTGCCATGACAGATTTTGAATCTCAGTATATGTAGAACAGATCCTTTTAGCTGGCCATGGGTTAAGCCATCCATCTATAAACTTCACCTTAACATAACCCTTTCCACTATACTTGTCACAGTCAGAAATTCTTGTGATATTATATTAACCACATTTTATTGAGAGAAATGTTAGGTTTGAGAATATATCCTTTAAAATGGTAGGGATTTTCTGCATATTTAAAATGTAAAGGTCTATATAGATATGAGATTGGGGTAAGGAAGGATTAAGAACTGTGGCTTTCCATTTGGATTCCTTTACAAATTGATTGAAGACACTTTAAGAGAGTAATATTTAGAGAACTAAATATGAGAACATGTGCCTTATTTTAATATATCTCCTCATTCCCTCATGTTACTCCTGTTAAGAGACCATTTGTCTTAAGTGTCAGTGAAGAAACAAATGGAAGTCTTATGACTTCAGAGCTGGATGATAAAAGAAGTTGAGACCAGAGATGAGAACTGACTTAAATCAAGATCTTTTTGATTTTTTCTTCTGTAAGGATGAAAGAATTGGAATACTCCAAAAGCTCTCAATTATGCTCCCTGACTTGACCAAATGTTGAACTGTTTCTAAACTGAGAAAAAAAATTATGAAGCCTGCTTTACTATAAATTTTTTTGGTGTGTGTGACTCTCATTTTTGTTTTTCTGGCTTTTCTGCCTGCTCCTGAGTACTCATAAACTTTAAAACAAATTGATAAATAGCATATCTCAGGCACATGTGTTATAACCTGTGATCTTCTGTTATAAGGCATATGACTTAGTTTTATTTCCTGTAGGTAAAAATTTTCCAAGTCTTCATACGGTGATGAAATATATCTTATGTTCCTCAAAGTTAACTATCAAAAGAGATTATTGCCAAGATACCCTAAAATGGATTGTCCAGCTCTTATTTTATTATCTTTAGCTCATTTCATTTGTTATCACGGTATTACAGAGTGACATTCTTCGTCAGGGACACAGGTTTTTTTAAATAATAGACATTTTTAGGGCTGGGGTTATGGCTCAGCAGTGCAGTGCCTGCCTGGCAAGTGCAAGGTCCTCAATATGAGTCCTGGTGCAGACAAAACAAAACTATTTTTTAGAGCAGTTTTAGATCATGGCAAAACTGGTCTTTCTTTCATCTCTCCCTCTATCCACATCCCCCACTAGACTGGTACATTTGCTACCCTGAGGAACCAATATTAACACATCATTATTGTCCAAATTCTTTAGTTTACATTAGTGTTCTCTCTTGGCATTGTACATCCTCTGAGTTTTGACAAATATACATATAATGGTGTGTATCCATGATAGTATTATCATACAGAATAATTTCACTACCCTAAAAATTCTCTGGGCTCTATCTGTTTATTCATCTTTCCCTCCTAAATCTTGATAATCACAAATATTTTTACTGTATCTATAGTTTTCCCCTTTCCAGAATGTTACCAAGTTGGAATAATACAGGATATAGCCTTTGTAGATTGACTTCTTTCACTTAATCATATACATTGGAATAATATAGTATATAGCCTTTGTAGATTCTTTCACTTAATCATATACGTTTAACTTTTCTCCGTGTCTTTTTATTGCTTCATAACTCTTTATTTATTTATTTCTGGTACCAGGAATCAAACTCAGCCTTGGGCTTGCCAGGCAGGCACTGTGCTGTTGAGCTACATCCCTGGCCCTTCATTTCCTCTTAATGCTGAATAGTAGGCCATTGTCTGGATGTACTACAGTTTATTTATCCACTCACTTGCTGAAGGATATCTTAGTCATGTGTGTGTCTTGGCAGTTATTTATAAAGCTGCTTATAAATGACTATGTGCAGATTTTTGTGTATGCACAGTTTTCATTGGGTAAATACCAAGGAACATGACTGCTGGATCGTATTGTAAGAGAACCATTTTAATTTTGTAAGAAACTGCCAAATTGTCTTCTAAAGGGATTGTACTGTTCTGTGTTTCTACCTGTTGAGAATGAGTTTCTTTCTTTTTTTTGTACGGGGAATCGAACTCATAACCTCGCACTTGCCAGGCAGGTGCTTATGCTGTTGAGCTAACCCCTAGCAGAGAATGAGAGTTTCTGTTGCTGTACATCCTTACTAGCATTTGGTTTTGTAAATACTCATATTTTGGCCATTGTATTAGTGGTATACTGATTTCTCTTTGTTTTAATTTGCATTGATTGGTGAGAAAATATTAAAAATATTTTTCATATTCTTATTTGCCACCTGTATATCTTCTGTAGATGTCTGTTTAGGTCTTTACCCATATTTTAATTGGGTTGTTTTCTTACTGTTGAGTTTTAAGAGTTTTTTGTATATTTTGTGTAACAGTCCTTTATCAGCTGTGACTTTTGCAAAGTTTTTCTCTCAGTCAATATCAATTGTTTCTTTCATGGATATTGCCTTTCGTGTTGTATTTAAAAAGTCATCTCTATACTTAAGGTCATCAGGTTTTTCCTGTTTTATCTTTTAGGTGATTAATGTTTTAATTGAGGTCTCTGATGCATTTTGAATTAATTTGTGGGAAGGGTGTAGAGTCTGCCTAGATTTTTTTTTTTTTTTTTTTGCATGTGGAGGTCAAGTTCTAGCATCAGTTGAAAATACTACTGTTACTATATTGTGTTGCCTTCTGTGCATTGTCAAAGTTTAGTTGACTGTACTTATATCTGTTTTGAGTCCTCTGATTCATTTCTATTGATTTTTTTCCTTTTGCCAACACCATACTTTCTTGATTATTATGGATTTATAGTGAGGTATTGTGAGTTCTTAAAATTTGCTCTTCTCCTTCAGTACTGTAATTGCTGTTTTGGGTCTTTTGGCTCTCTGTTTCCACAAAAAATCTTGTTAGGGTTTTAACTGGGACTGCATTGAATCTGTAGATCAAATTGGGAAGAACTGACATGTTGACAGTACTGAGTTATTCTCTATCTCTGTTTTAGTTAATATCTTTCATCAGAATTTTGGAGTTTTACTTCTGTAAATTGGTGAATATTTTGCCAGAATTATACCTAAGTATTTCTTTTTTAGATAAAAATATGTGTTAGTTTCTTTTAATATCAAATTCTGCTTGTTTAATACTGTTAGATATGTAGGAAAGTGATTGACTTTTGAATATTAGCTTTTGCATTGTGAAACCTGTATCATGTATTGATTCTAGGAGTGTTTCTCTCCCACCACCGCAGTTCATTTTGGATTTTCTCCATAGATGAGCATGCCATATGCAAGCATAGTCAGCTTTATTTCTTCCTTTCAATATGCGTACCTTTCACTGTCTTTTCTTGTCATATTCTATTAGTTGGGATTTCCAGTAAAAGACCGAACAGGGACACCTTTGTTCCTGACCTTAATGCAAAAGTTTTAGTTTTTCACCATTAAGTAGAATATTAGATATGGGTTTATTGTAGATATTATTTGTAGATATTCTTGATCAAGTTGAGGAAGCTCCTCTCTAGTCCTAGTTTGATGATGATTTTTATCATCAGTAAGTGTTGAATTTTTTTGAAATTATCTTTCTGCATTTATTATATAATCATGATTTTTCTTCTTTTGCTTATTGAGGTGATGGATTTTATTAACTGATTTTCAAATGTTGGACCAATCTTTCATACTTGGGATAACTCCACTTGGTTGTGGTATATATTCTTTTTGTGCATTACTGGATTTGTTAATATTTTGTTGAGGATATAGTTTTACATCTATGTTGGTCTGATAGTATTCTTGTAATACTTTTATCTGATTTTGGTATTAGAATATTGCTGACCTCACAAATGAGTAAGGAAAATTTTTTCCCTTTTGTCTTCTAGAAGGGACTACAGAGAATTGTTGTAATTTTTTCCTTTGGCAGAGTTCACCAGTGAACCTATAAGCCTTGTGCTTTCTGTTTTAGAAGGTTACTAATTATTGATTCAATCTTTAAAGTAAATATAGACCTGTTCAGATTCTGTTTCTTCTTGTGTGAGTTTTGGCAGGATATGACTTTCAAGGAATCGGTCCTTTTCATGCAAATTATCAAATGTGTGGGTACTGGGTTATTTATAATCATTTAATATCATTTTAGTGTCCTTGGGATCTGTGATGATGTACTCTATTTCTGATACTAGTGATTTGTGTATTTAGTCTTTATTTTCTTAGTCTTTATTAGACATTGGCACAGGTTTTGCTGTATTCTGTATTTTTTTGTAAATTGTATTTTCATTTTCATTTGATTCAAAACATTTTAAAAACTTTCTTGAAGTTTCTTCTTCAGACGATATATATATAAATTTTTTTATTTTTAAATTTTCTTTTGTCCTGGGGTTCAAATTCGGGTCCTTGCACTGTACTTGCCAGCCAGGTGTTGTGCCACTGACCCAAGTAATATTCAGAAAAAATGTTTTTAGCCTAAGTATCTGGATTTTCTAGCTATGTATTTTTCTGTTACTCATTTCTAGTTTAATTAAACTAGAATATCTTCTAGAAGATATAGGTCTGAGAGAAGATATTCTATGATTCTGTTATTTTAAATTTGTTAAGATATGTTTTATGGCCCAGAATGTTGTACAGCAAATAATATTTTGTATGAGCTTAAGAAACATGAGTAGCATTCTGTCATTGGATAGAATACTTCATATATGTGAATTATATCTTTTCTGTTTTACTTGATTCATGTATCTAAATCCCCTCATACTTTGTTTGTTTATCGAGACAGCATCTCACTTTGTAATCCAGGCTGGTCTTTAACTATGTGGCCCAGGCTGGCCTTGAACTCACAGGGATCCTCTGTCAGCTGCCCAAGTGCTGGGATCACAGGCATGCCCAGCATTATAGTGTGTTTAGTTCAACTATGTCTTTCCTAAGTTTCTGCCTGCCAGTGTTTCCATTTCTAATAGAGGGATTTTAAAGTTTCCAATTATACTAGTGAATTAATTGTTTCTCTTTACAGTTGTATCAGTTTTTGCCTATATATAATATTTTTATGTTGTGTTTTAGGAGCATTAAACATTCAGTACATATAACCCTTATGTGCACTAAGAATTATTATGTCTTAGAGTATAGACTTTTACATCATTTTATAATATCACTTTTATTTTATTAATTAAATTTAATTCATTAAATTTACTTACTTAAAATGACGGAAATTTATTTTCATACACTTCTGGAGACTGGAAGACCCAGATCAGCATGTCTCTGATTTGGTTTCTTCTGGCCTCTCCTTATCCTGGTAACCTTCTTGGCACATCTTTTTACATGGCTCCTGTCTGTGTGCCAGTAATGCCACTTTAAATTCTTGATACCTTTTCTTGCTTTGAAGTCTGCTGTGTCTGGAATTTATATATTTTTCTTTTGGCAGTGTTATTTTGCTATATTCTTCCCTTTACTTATCTGTGTCTCCTCGTCCTCCCCAATGACTGACTGGGTCTGCTGGACCTTTTAACTCTCAGGATTTTCCACCCTGAGCCTTTCACAGTTCGTCAATTACAGTTTATTTTTTCTGGCTCTGGCACTAGTTCCCACAGGTTTGTACTCTAGTAAGTGTGGTTCTCTGAATCTACCTGTTTTAATTTCTTCTGTTTTGAGGGCAGCAGTGTATTTTATGACCTCACTTGATGGATTCAAGAATTGTTGATTTTTCAGTTGGTCCAGGTTTTTACCTGTTAGGATGAAGAGATACTTCTATGATACTTGCTGAACTAGAAACAAGAAGTTTGTTCTACTGACTTTTTACCTCATTATTACTTGAATATACTTTTTTCTGTGTCTATAGTTAGCATTCATATAATCAGAGTCTTTATTTAGCAGTGGAACAGGTGGAGGAGCTGGGCTGAAAGTAAGGATTGTTGTTGAGTCTAGGCACTTAGATCCTCATCTGTGTAAATGCTGGTCTATTTATTGAAGTCAGTCTGATGGCTTCCTCATTACACCTGAAGTCCTTTACAAACCCGTTAAGCCTCGGACCATAGACCTACTCAAAGTAACATTTCTTGCCCTCTGAAGTAGGCCTTATTGAACTAATGATTGGGAATTTTGAATATCTGTGTGCAGGAACTAGAGTGGGGTGTAGAAGAGACCAAATCATTAAAGGCAGCACAAGAATCTCAGTGCTTCCAGCTGCAGCCAACAGATCACAGGCCTGGGGGACAATCGCAGAAGCAGTGGGTAAAGAATTCATGCTCTGACCTCCCTGCGCATCTAAATGCCAAGATGGCATCACGTCTCTTAAAAGAGAGTGGTGAGTACAAAGAATCTGGGAAAACTAGAGGATGAAGCCTTTCCTCCAAGGGAGAGGATTGAGAAGTAAGGAAGGGCACATGAGGGGAGGATGTGGAGAGTTCAAGGCAAAGGACAGGATAGTGTGCGATGAACACACTTACTCAGAAGTAGGGTAAAAATGCATTGTAAAAGAGTAAGAAGTTCCCAGTGATGCCAGCTAGAGCAGCAGATGCAGCAGATTCAGTCTGGGACGAAGTGGGGTGGTTATCACAGAGGTTCAAGGCAGTTATCTCACGTGTCACACAAACCAGGCTTAGGTGCTTTGTTCCCTCAGAGTAAAGTTGTTATTGAGTACAGTCATTCACTTCATCTTTGATTATAACTATGTAAAAGGTAAATAACCTATATTTTATGCTTTTGAGTTGTTTAATGTCATAAGACTTTTACCTAATTTATCTCTTTATGAATTAAACATGTTTTGAACAGTGGCAGTCTTGTTGAAACACTTGAGTAGCCTCCCAGTATTCCCTAGAAGGGAAATAAAAGAGGTGATTTGCACTGGCCATAGAGTAGCCTCAGTCTGTTTCAAGTGTGACTTGTGGGAAGGTGGACCTTAGAGGAAGGTGGTTTTTGAGAACCAGGGCTTGGGTTTCAGAGACTTTTTCTTTTCCTCAGCTGCCTTCACTCCTCGAGTCCCTGCTCTTCCAAAAATGGGTAGTGTTGGAGATTGGGAGGTGACAGCTGAGTCCCAGGTAAGCTGCTATTTGTTTTTCCCTTCGTGTTCTTACTCCTATTCTACTGTTGCCCTCCAGGTTCTTTCTGATTCCAGGGCATCCCCACAGAAGTGCAAAGGCATAAAGTGTTACCTTTGCCCCATCCCCAGTCTCCTGGGTCCCTCCTTGGTCATGCTGCTGCTTGTGATGCTAAACCCTGTGATGCAGGAATCCCTGCATTTCTCTCCTTTTTCTGGGACCTGTAGGATTCCAAGGCTCTTTTCAAAGATCAGTAATATTTAAGAACCTTCTCTTGTGCATGTCACAGGAAGTCCCAGGCCCTGGCAAGCATGATGAGAAGAAGTTCTGCAAGGACCCCACAGGAGATGATTGCGTCAATAGCCTGTGTCTGAGTAAGGAAAATATGCCCTTCCCTGGAGCAAAAGACATCCAGTTTCTGTGGTTCCCAAGGAGTGGTATGCTACTCCCTTAAGAATCATAGCTCTGTGTGCTCTGGAATTTCAGAGGTAGAAAAGACTTGTTTTTTATAGCCAACACTGTTAGAACAGAGAGAGAGAGTTGGTCCAGATTGAGGGTAGCAGGTTGATTTTTCCAGAGCTTGCCAAGTTGGGGCTTATCATCTTCACTTCCTCAAGACAGTCTCCAGATCCTGGAGCTGGGCCCAGCCTACTGCCTTGGAAATCTGATCTCTTCCACACCAACTGAGATCTGCCTCTTAGGGGCAACGCAAGTGAACTAAGCCTGCAAGACAAACATATTAAACCAGAAAGGAAAATAAGTATCACAGGCCTCAAAATACTCGAGCCCATTGAATCAACATAGACTCCTTTTTTTCTGTAGGCATTCCTGCATGGGAAGCCAAACTAATAAGCCATTTCCCTGGGGATTCTGGGGTCACTGTGTGGGGAGTTAGACACAAAGATGGGGTAAAATGGAAGAGACTGGGCAGTTCTAATGCACAGTCAGGTTAGGAACCAGAAGCTTGTTGGCTACTTACTTGACAGTAGAATCCCTTTCTGACACATGCTATTGAGTTGGGGGATACAGTGTTTAAAGAAACAGATGGAAATGCTAACTTATCTTCAGGAAAGATTCTAGGGCAATGGTGGTCATAAATTTCCTAAGATACAGTGGTGTCCATCTGTGTCCCTGCCCCCACCCCCAACAAAGCAGGTCAGTTTGTTTGGGCCAATTTATGTCATGTGTCTCTCTGTGAACCAATAATAAGTTACTATTTCCTATAATATATTTCATAACAATAACAACAAAAAGCAAATAAAGCAAATAAGTCACTTCCTCTTTCTGATGAGGATTGTGTCTAGTTGCCTTTCCCTAATCTTTCAGATATTTTAACAGAGTAATACAAGAATCTCTCATCACTGTCTGGCAGAGAAAGGATGTAAGTGTCAGGGACAGTTTGGACTAACCTGCTGCTCAATAGATCACTTCTATTCAATTGTTTGTCTTTTTTCTTTTGTACAGGAGTTCCAATTTTGAAACCAAGTGTCACTTCACAGCTAGAGCAAGGACCAGAATTATGGGATGTAAACCTAATAAATTCTGTGAAAAAGAGTACTGCTGATTACAGACTGGATAATGAACCAACAAAGCCAGCTCAGGTCTTAAAGGACTCTAGAGCCTGGGAAGAACAATGCCAATGGGATGTGGAGGACGTGAAAGTGTCAGGTGTTCACTGGGGCTACGAGGAGACCAAGACTTTCCTGTCAATCTTGAGCGAGTCTCCTTTTTCGGAAAAGCTTCGGACTTGTCACCAGAACCGCCAGGTGTATCGGGCTATTGCTGAGCGGTTAAGGGCACGGGGTTTCCTGCGGACACTCGAACAGTGTCGCTACAGGGTCAAAAACCTCCTACGGAATTACCGGAAAGCCAAGAGCAGCCACCCACCAGGGACATGCCCTTTCTATGACGAACTGGAAGCCCTGATGAGGGCTCGAACAGCCATCAGAGTCACTGGTGGCTCAGCAGAGGCTGTGACACTCCCCAGGCTGGGGGATAGTGATGCTGAGATGGATGAGCATGAGGAAGGTGGCTGGGAGCCTGAAGAAACAACAGAAGACTGTAATAGTGCTGGCGTGGCTACTGATGAGTCTGCCCAGGGGCCTAAGATTGCAGGTGGCCCAGCACTACTCCAGAGTCGTATTGGTAAGAATGTGGGGGTTTAACCTGGTACAGATTCCAGTCCTACCAGTCAGGCCTCTGATCCCTGAATTGATGCCACTAAAGTGTTAAGTTTCTTGGGTCATCTTTGAACTCTCATCTTTTTTGTAACTGAGTCTCCTTTCTCAGGTTTTCTTATATATAAAAAAATATTTTTTAGCCTACAAGAGCCTTTGGGGATGATCATAAGTATCACATGAGTGAACTTCTAATGGTGATGATTAGGTGTTTCTCTTACTGTGTATGAGTAAATAGGCCTCACAGATAGCAAATTTAGATAAAGAAAAACAGTAAAATATTGAACAGATAAAGCAGAAAAGATGGCAATGTAGACTTAGACAGTCAATGTGTGGCAAACACCCAGTCACTGTAAGGTAGAATCTCTGGAGCCCAAGAAATGATGCGTCTTGTTTAAGGGTGCACAAATAGGAGCACAGTCCATGGCTTATGCCTGCCAGTTTCATGTGGTTTTCCTGCCCCATGTTGCCTTGCTGGGTGGTAACCCTTACTTGAAGAACTGAGATGAGGTTGTTTCCTAATTACTCTTCCATAAGAGGAAGGGACATCCTTAGTTGGACTCTGATTATTTGAAATCCATTCATATCTTTGGTTTTTAGGGATTTTGTGCTTCCATGGTTCATTAAAGGAGAATTCATAAAGAAGATAGAGGATATGTACTGCTTGGCTATAGGGAAAATCTCATGGATCCCAGTTGCTAGACAGCTCAAGCTAAGGGACTTGGGTCACCTAGTAGAACTTAGAAGTATGGCCATGTAAGTCCTCCCCGTTAGTAAGACTTAAAGTGTTAATGGAATCTCTTCAAAGGGGTGGGGCAGATGCTCTGACTGGCTTTTCTAGACCATCCCTGAGAAGAAAAGGTATGTTCCCAGCCACTGGGGCAGTTTCTGGGATGCCTGTGTTCCAGGTGTTTAGAAGGATAGATGACCCTGATCCCTGATTATCTAGGCAAATCTCAAGTCTTACACCTCTGAACTCTTCACTCCTGACAGCAGGTGTGCACTGGGGATATGAGGAGACCAAGGCTTTCCTGGCAATTCTCAGTGAGTCTCCATTCTCTGAAAAGCTTTGTACCTGTCATCAGAACAGCCAGGTATATCGGGCCATTGCAGAGCGACTGTGTGCACTGGGTTTCCTGCGGACACTGGAGCAATGTCGCTACAGATTCAAAAACCTCCTTCGAAGCTACCGGAAAGCCAAGAGCAGCCACCCACCAGGGACGTGCCCCTTCTATGAGGAGCTGGACTCACTCATGAGGGCTCGGACTGCAGTCAGAGCCATGGAGACTGTCAGGGAGGCAATGGGTCTTCCTAGGTCTGGGCAGAACAGTACTGAGACAGATGACCAGGAAGCCTGGAGTGAGATGGCAGATGAAGATGCCGTCAAACCTCCAACCCCATGTCCTAAAACTCCAGACACTGGTAAGCCTGGAGTCACAAGATGGCCACAAAATCCATAGGCTTGTAAAAGGGTGGAAAACCTGACTTAATATGTTTTGACTCTGGGCTAAAAGAGAGAATGGGATTGGATAGGAAAAGGATTTGTGCTTTGCTCAGATTATTGTAAAGACAAAGGCCCCCCACATGATACAGTCTAGCTTTTAAAAGGAAACATCTGGGCTGTGAGGGGATTGATTTTGTGTGACATAGAATCTACTGAATGTACTGGAAGAAGGAAGGAGGTAGTTATTTAATGCTGACTGGCTGGAGAGACTGATTGACTGACTGCTTGGGCTGGCCCTCATGGCTCTTTTGGGGACTACAATGTCCTAGACTGTGTGCCTACGTTGCTCAGGCTTAGAAATGCATGTATGCCCCCAAACTTTGTCAGTTTCACATTAGTCACATTTATAAGATGTGATATTTAAGATATAGATTCATTTTGGCCACACTCATAAGACACAGATAAAGATACATAAATGCTAACTGATGAATAAACTGCATTTCTATCCATTCTTTTAGGTTTTGAGTGGAGGCATAAGGATGAAGACCAGATTTCAGAGCAGGACATTTTTGAGGATTTATCGGGAGCCTTACCAAAATATACTACAGAGGCTATTTATTCCCCTCATGACTGGGGAGAAGACAGTGAAAATGAAAATGAAGGTGAAGGGGTATGGGGCAGTCTTTCACAAGAGCAGTGGGAAGAGTGTTCTGAGGAGGATTTAGAAAAACTCATTGATCATCAAGGCCTGTACCTTGCAGAGAAACCCTACAAGTGTGATACATGTGTGAAAAGCTTCAGTAGGAGCTCCCACTTCATTGCCCACCAGCGGATCCACACAGGGGAGAAACTTTATGCATGCCTTGAATGTGGAAAAAGCTTTAGTGACCGCTCTAACCTCAATATACATCAGAGAATCCACACTGGAGAGAAGCCCTACAGATGCCTTGAATGTGGAAAAAGCTTTAGTGATCACTCCAATCTTATCACCCACCAGAGAATCCACATGGGAGAAAAGCTCTATAAATGTGGAGAGTGCTGGAAAAGCTTTAATCAGAGCTCAAACCTTCTGAAACATCAGAGGGTCCATTTGGGAGGAAGTCCTGAACCCTACAGTGAGACTAGAGAAAACACTGGTCAAAGCCTATCTGTTAGTGCTCACTGGAGGAATTCCACAGAGGAGACAACTGAGCCATCTCAGAATATTGGGACACACTTGAGCTTTCCTGCACCCCACGGTACTAACTCAGGGGAGAAACTGTATCAGTGCTCTGAATGTGGAAGATGCTTCTCAAAGAGCTCTGCCCTCATTAGTCACCAAAGAATCCATACAGGAGAGAAACCTTACGAGTGTGCTGAGTGTGGGAAAAGCTTCAGTAAGAGTTCCACCCTGGCCAACCACCAGCGAACCCACACTGGAGAAAAACCATATAAGTGTGTGGACTGCGGGAAGTGCTTCAGTGAGCGTTCCAAGCTCATCACCCACCAGAGAGTACACACAGGAGAGAAGCCCTACAAATGCCCAGAGTGTGGAAAGTACTTCCGAGATCGTTCTAACCTCATCACTCACCAGAGGATTCACACGGGAGAGAAGCCCTATAAGTGCAGAGAGTGTGGGAAATGCTTTAACCAGAGCTCCAGTCTTATTATTCATCAGAGAATCCACACTGGGGAGAAACCCTACAAGTGCACAGAGTGTGGCAAAGACTTCAACAACAGCTCCCACTTTAGTGCCCACCGGAGAACCCACACAGGTGGCAAACCATTGTAGGAGACTCTTAACCCCCAACAAAAGAGTGATACATGTATATTTATATCTCCCCAGGTCATGAAACCTAAATTAGCAAGAAATCTTTCAGTTTTTAAGCTTGATGTATAAGCAGAGAAGTTTTGGTAAAATCCAGGTAATTTGAAAGTGAATTGCAAATACTAAGGATCCAGATTTGAAGGCACTTTGTTTCTCAAGTGTAATTTTTTTTTCCTGTTAAAATTTCCCATATAATCCTCAGGCTATCCTTATACCTGCTGTTGTATAGGAGCTTTATCAGTATTTGAGCCAGACTGGTGACTTAGGGGACTGGAGTTAAATCAGTGGCTGGAGCAGTGATTTTAGACTCTGCTGTGCCTTGACACTGCCTATATGTGCAAAACCCCTTCCCACCATCTCTCACACATCACATTTTGCAGTCAGGGCATTTCCTCACAGGAGACTGGTGAGAGAGGGGCATAACTGAAAATCAGTGGCCAAGAATAGTCCACCATGAGCTTAGCAATGAGTAGGAACAACAGTGACATCGTTACAAAATTGTTATTCATAATAGCAAAAATACTTGGTATTGAGCATTTGCTTTTTGGCAGGCTATGAGTATTATCTCATTTAATCCTGGTGACAGCTCCAGGAGATAACTATCAATTTTCTACTCATCTCCCTGGAGAAAACTGAGGCTTAAGAAAGTTACTTGTATTGGCCACATAGCTGAAAATGAGAGAGGCAGAATTCAGCTAGATCTCTGTGTTTCCAGGGTCTGAGATGCTTTCAGTGTCCCCTGAGTTCCCTTTTGTGTAAGGACAAGTAACTCAGGTACCAAGGTCTCAAAATGTGATACTTAATAAATTATCTTTATGTCAAATATGGTAACCAAGAATTCCTAAAGATGAAAGGACTTGAAATGTTTATAATTTGTTGTAATGCTTTGAGTGAGGCTGAGCTATTATCAAAGTGCTGGGTGTGAGTTTCCATTTTTGTAGTAATATGCCTGAGAGATATAGATGGGTTGAAACTGAGGAGAGTATGTAGCCAAAGTGATGTGTCTTCCAATAAATAGTGCTTTCGCTATGGAAGTGGGGTTTAGGAGTTTCTTTTCTCAGGGGTCATTCCTACTTCTTATTGTACTTGGCACCTCTCCAGTGCTTTCCTATCTCTGTGTTTTAGTCCCTCTGGGTCCTTACCCTTATATCTGATCCCAGTACCAAGACTAAAGTAACATAAGTTGGTGTGTAGTCTTCCTGAGAGAGATTTGAATACAATTGTAGATTAATGACACCTTCTTATCCTGAGCCCTCTTGTCCCCTAGCTGACCTAGTGCTGCCCATTGAAACTGGTTTCACATACACAGGAGGCCTCCTGGATTGCTTCTTGAGAGAATTTTAGAAATATTGGTGGCGACTTTGATTTTCATGGGATTTTAAAAGAAAATCTTTTTCCCAACACCTACCTACGACAGCGGGATGACATCCATACCTTGGCTGTGGGTGGTACCTGACAAATAATGGAAGTGCTGGAATCTTGAAGATAGAGACTCTATATTCACATGTGAGAATATATGTAGAGTTTTGTTACTCACATAGAATGAGATCATTCCTTAATCCCTTCCCCTGCTCCAGAACCTCCTTTCTTCCCAAGAACCAATCCATTTGAGGTCACTATCAACCTTGTCCCAGTTTACCTTTCCTGACTCCCCTTATATCTGAGGGGTAGAGGTCCTGAATCCAGGGTTGAAACCTGGCAGATGTCAGTGACTACAATAAGATATTCAGAGTATCCTGAGGGCCAACAGGAAGGGTCCCAGCGGGGAAGAGGGAGCACAAGAAGAGCACTGTGGGAGAAATAGCACGGATTCAGGGGAGGAAGTGGGAACTATAAGCTTCTTAAATTTTGGGGGCATATAGTAGGATTGAGTTTGAGACTGGATGGGGAATGGAACTGAGTCAGATGTGAATGGAGCTTGGATGTCATGCTAAGGGTGACATGTTGAGATATGTACCCTGAAAATCTAACAGCTAGTTGAGACTTGGATGCACTGCAGTTGGAACTACTGATGGACATTGTGACATTCCAGATAAAAGGTAAGGATCTGAACTTGAACGGTACCTGCACTAAAGAGGAGGAAATGTAGTTGCAGTGTTTCAGAGTCAGACTACATCATGAAAACCTGGGGTGACTGGATAGAGCATGTATCATTTAGAGTCGGGGACACGAGGAAGAAACACAGGGCAGGAGGGCAGAGTATTGTAAGTTTACTCTGAGATATTTTGAATCCAAGGCAACTAGACATCTGAACATTTATGTATCTTTGCCAGAAGTTGTGGGAAAGGGTAAGCCTAGAGATTTATCTAGTCTATATGGTAGTTAGTGAGAAACAGATTATATTCAATGCCAAAGAAGTATTGGGCCTAAGCGAATTTGAGAAGCACTAAAAGGGAGAGGAGTGTGCCCCTGCAGGTAAATCTGGGTCATTGCTCACTCTTACTCCTAACATCTCTTTTGGCTCCTGCCTTCCTTGTGACTGATCCCTGAATTCTCAGAGTAGTCCTGGTTTTTTTTTTTTTTTTTTTTTTTTTTTGAGCCTTCACTATGGAAGCCAACCTGAACTAACTATGTAAATGAGATGCCAGCTCTCGCCCCACTGAGTGTCACTTCTCTCTGTTCTTTTGACTGCTGGCATCTTCTGTTTTCAGTGGACAATTTAGATCCTTCTATCTATCACTCCTTTCTCAAAAGTCTTAACTGTAGATTCAGCCATGAAAGCAAGGGCAGCATAAACCAGGAGCATATTGGATGCAAGTGTAACCTTCCTCTCTGTCTACTGGACTTTTCCTTTGAAAGAAGCATTCTTCTAGGTGACACCTAGAAGGCCTTCTAGAATCTTCTAGGTCAGACCCTGGTTATGGAAAAATGGAAGCAGCAAAGCCTGCCCTGGTGGAAGATGGTGTTTTATGTGAGCTATTAAAAGTGGGTGCACCTCCCCACCAGCTTCATTTTCTTCAGTACCCTTCATCCTCTGTAGTGACCAAGAGGTCCTCCACTTTCCACATACTTGTCAGGAAGCAACAGACCCAAAGGTAGAGGCAGGGAAGCGTAGACCAATGCTGCTTTAGATGTTCAGTATTTCTTAGGCCTGAGCCCCAGCACCCAGCTTATGATGATGGCTGCAGCCTGACTGTGCCTATATGTCTTCCTCCCCAAAATAGAGTAAAGCAACTGATCACTCCCTCCAGCCATCATGCTAAAAATGAAGTCAGGTTTCCTTCCTCTGCCTCCTTATGTTCTGGGCCCCAGTGGGGATAGCTCTAGGTCTTCAGGCCAGAGAGAAGAGTTCATGTTTTCTTACTCTGTGGAAAGGAAAACCTCCCTTTGGGCTAGGGGTGAGCCTGAAGTGATGAATGCAGTGATGGCTGGAGTGGAAATGTGTGTGACAGGTGCCCTTTGTCTGTGCTCCACACTGCTGTCCAAGGTGTGCCTTGCTGTTTTGCTTTCTAACTGTCATGTAGATGATGCCTTCCAGATTTGTCTCCCACCCAGGCCTCTCAGTAACCCAGCTGCTTGCTGCGCCAACCCTGGCTTGAGTGACTCATGAATTCCCCCTGCTCATGAACTCCCCCTTGGCTTGAGTAGTTACTCTGTAGTGACTCATGAGTTTCCCCCATCTTTGGCCTCTCTCTTCACTCAGTCAGCATGGACATTTATGAACACAGTAGCTCATATGCAAGCCTCCTTCACACATCTTCAGCCTCCTTACTCCTTGCACAGTCTTAACTCAGACTCAATCCTTCCTCTGGCTTGATCCCACACATTCTCCCTTTCAGGGCATTTGCCATTGGACACTGGAGCCAGTACCTAAAGCCAAAATGAATCCTGTGGAACATCCTAAGGGTTGGATCTCATTTTCCCTTTCCCCTTAAGCATTCTTAATCCTCTTCCCCAACTTGCTAAGGGATCAGTGCTACCTAAGAAGAAATCAGGCAGGCTTTGCATGAGAGCTGGAATTGGAACAGGAGGATCCCAAAGCTGGGAATGAAAGACATTGACTTTTTCCTCTTTCAACCTATGAGTGTCTCTTTATATCCTCAACATCAGCTTTACTATTATTAGCATATCTTTACCATCATTTTCAGCCTCACTGGTTTTTGGCTAACTTCAATATCTCCAGGAATGTTTCAGGTGGGAGAAGTCATACCCCTTCCCTACTTCTTTGTTCTTTTGTAAAGCTGATAGATGACTTCTGTTCCTTTTTTCCCTGAGTCATATCTCTCAGCTTGCCTGTGTCAAGACCACATCTTGAGAAGGAAATCAGGAGCTCAAGAGGCCTTGATTCTTCTTGGTATATGAGCAGCTCTTTCATCCTCAAAGCTGACAGCATCTTTAGGAAACACTTGGTTAAGTCAAGAGTCTCACATAAATGAAGAGTAGACAGACTCCAATTAAATAATTTTACCTGTACACACTGAGTGAGTGGACGAGGCTTTCACACTGACATGATGACCTAACCAGGACACTCAGATTATCTTTGTATGTAATGATGATTCTGATTATGTCTGCCATTATACAATAATACTTATTTCTGCAGTCACATTAATTGTTCATATTTTCACTGTAGAAAAGTACCTCATTTTCATGCCACCTAAAAGATACAGGCAACAGGAAGGGAGATTAGAAAAACAAGTCTCAAGATGGCCCTGGAATGGCATTATGGCTTGTCTGAGCCCAAGAGGGAGAGGAGCTGCAGGGTGAAATCTTGAGTCATGGGGGATCAGGAGGCCCAACTTTGATGGGAGATGACAAAGGCCACACAGCGGAAAAGCAGACTTCTGTCTTCCACTTTGAGTACTGCTTCTGTAGAGTACTTTCTGCCTGTTTGGGGTAACAGAGACCAGCAGGAGGTCTGAAGGACACAACTGGAAGTAGGGGTGAGAAGCTTCTTATAAAACCCAAGGGACCACGGCAGGAGAAGACTGATGTCTCTAAATCATGCCTGCTTCTGCAGTTTCCCTGAAACAGTTGGGAGACATGAGGCTTGCCAGGCTAAGTTCACGCTAACCCCTTGTGGCGTGTCCTGGGAAACAGCAAACAGGTGTTATGTCTGGGGATTTTCCTGCTGAACTAAGTTCTTATGAAAACTAAACATTTGTGATAGATTTTGATTCCCTTTAGTTTTGACAAATTAAAACAAATTCAAGTGAAATTAAAATGAATTAATGTCTGGCATCCAGGAGGCTCTGAGTCTTTTCGTCTAATTCTCAAAAAAGGAAACAGGCTTTTTGAATTTGCAGGTTTGCAACTGACTTCAGCTCATCTGGCTTTGTATTCTTTTTCCTGTTGTATTATGTACACCTTGTGAAGCTAGTCAAATTCTATTTGGGATAGTGTCCTGATTAATAAATTATATCAAACTACTGTAAAAAAAGAAAACTATTTGGTTATGAATTCTTCTGGCATCTTATTATACCAAAAGGGTGGAGTAAAGCAGGAAGGGGAATCATCAAACAAAATGCTGCATCAGGGAGACTGGAACTCAGGATCTCAAAACCCTTTTGTGTTGGAGGAAAGCTTCTCTTTCCTGTTTTCCATAATTATTTTTTAAACTTTTTTATTATTTATTATTTATTTTAAAGCAGTAAAACTAAACAAAACAAAACAAAGCAGATCAGAAGAAGACAATGTAAGTGACACAGATTTCAAAGCAAGACAACAGAAGATCTACAGTGGCTACCATACTGTTTCTTGTTTTCTTCTAAATAGTTATCCATATCTTCACATACAATGAATTCATACAAAACAAAATAGTATTAAACTGTTCAGAACAGAGTAATGAAGGCATCACAGGCCTGCAAAACCAGACAATAGGAAAATCAACAATGGCTGCCATAATGTCTCTTGTTCTCTTCACAATAGCTGTCATACTTCCAGATATGTTGAAATTAAATTATACAAACCAGACTAAAATCAATGTGAACAAAGAATAAAAGCATTACTGGATTTCACAGCATGTTGATACAGAATCAGCAATGGATACCGTAATGTTTCTTTAGCTTGTTTATTTCATCACGTAATATAATTGATT